TTGCCATGGTATTGCCATTGCCAGTCGCCACCCCGTTACCATTACCGTTACCATTACCATTACCATTCCCATTGCCATTACCATTCGCCACTACCATTACCATTGCCATTATCATTAGCATTACCAACACAATTGCGATTACCATTACCATGAGACTACCGCTGCCATCACTATTACAATTCCCATTCCCATCACCATTGCCATTCGAATTAACGTTACCAGCATTGCCATTGCCAGTCGCCACCCCGTTACCATTGCCATAACCATTACCATTACCGTTATCGTCACCATTACCATTCCCAGTACCATTATCATCACCACTGTCATTGCCATTACCATTACCATTGCCATTGCCATTGCCATTCGCCACTACCATTACCATTGCCATTCGCCACTACCATTACCATTACCATTGCCATTGCCATTGCCCTTCGCCACTACCATTACCGTTGCCAGTACCATTACCATTCCGATTAACATTCCCATTCCCAATACCATTACCATTACCATTACCATTACAACTGCCATTGCCATTACCATTACCTTACCTTTACCTTTACCTCTACCTTTACATTTACCCTTACCCTTACCATTCCCATTTCCGTTACCACTACCACTGCCATTTCCATGCCCGTTCCCATTCCCATTCACATTCCCATTCCCGTTCCCATTCCCATTCACATTACCATTGCCATTACCATTACCATTGCCATTGCCATGGCCATTACCATTGCCATTGCCATTGCCATTGCCATTACCGTTGCCGTTGTCATTGCCATTGCCATTGCCAGTCGCCACCCCGTTACCACTATCATTACCGTTACCATTACCAGTACCATTACCATTACCTCTGTCATTACCATTACCATTCGCATTGCCATTGCCATTGCCATTAGCCACTACCATTACCATTGCCAGTACCATTTCCATTGCCATTCCCATTCTCATGACCATTACCTTTACCATTACCATTATCATTATCATTTCCATTGCCACCATTACCTTTACCTCTACCTTTACCTGTACCCTTACCCTTATCATTCCCATTTCCGTTACCACTACCACTACCATTTCCATTCCCGTTCCCGTTCTTTCTCCCATTCACATTCCCATTCCCGTTCCCATTCCCATTACCATTACCATTGCATTTACCATTGCCGTTGCCATTGCCATGGCCATTATCATTGTCATTGTCATTGCCAATCCCATTGCCATTGTCATTACCATTACCGTTGCCATTGTCATTGCCATTGCCAATCGCTACCCCCTTACAATTACCGTTACCATTACCATTACCAGTACCATTACCAGTACCTCTGTCATTACCATTACCATCACCATTGCCATTGCCATTCGTCACTACCATTACCATTGCCAGTACCATTTCCACTCCCATTCCCATTACCACTAGCATTACCATTACCATGAGACTACCGCTGCCATTACCATTAGAATTCTCATTCCCATTTCCAATACTATTACAATTTCCATTGCCATTACCATTACCATTACCATTTCCAGTGCCATTACCATTACCACTACCACTATCATTTCCATTCCCGTTCCCGTTCCCAGTCCCACTTCCATTCCCATTACCATTACCATTACCACTGCCACTGCCATTGCCATTACCATTACCATTACCATTACCATTACCATTACCATTACCATTACCATTACCATTACCTTTAACTCTACCTTTACCTCTACCCTTACCATTACCATTGCCATGGCCATTACCATTGCCATTGCCATTGTCATTGTCATTCCCATTCCCATTGCCATTGCCATTACCATTACCGTTGCCATTGCCATTGCCATTGTCATTGCCTCGCTACCCCGTTACCACTATCATTACCGTAACCATTACCAGTACCATTACCATTGTCATTACCATTACCATTACCATTACGATTGCCATTGCCATTGCCATTGCCATTCGAGGATTTCAGTAGGAATCATTCAGTGGAGGGTTTCAGTAGGAATCCACATGTGGAGGATTTCGGTAGGAATCATTCAGTGGAGGGTTTCGATCGGAACCTTTCTGTCGAGGATTTCACTGTGAATCCTTCTTATGGGGGCGTCCAATAGGAATCCTTCTAGGGGGGAGGGCAGATGTGCCCACGTCGCATTTTTTTTTTTCTCCTGGCGCCCCCCCCCCCCAGACAACAAAAGTCAAAACCATATATATATATATATATATATATATATATATATATATATAATATAATAGGGGGGGGGGGCGCAGGAGAAAAAAAACAAGGCAGAGAGGTAGCAGGAGGGGAGAGGGAGGAGGAGAGGAGGAGGAGGCGGAGGAGGAGGAGGAGGAGGACGACACTGAGCAGAGTTTGCACAGAAACAGTCGCGAACTCAGCGCGAAACCCTCGCGCGCGCGCTGTGGAACCCCAGCGACTCCACAATCCCCCGTTCTCGAGGAGGAGGAGGAGGAGGAGTAGGAGGAAGAGGAGGAGGAGGAGGAGAAGGAGGAGGAGGCGGAGGC